GAATCAATTGTCCACCTTTGACGTGCTTGCACAAAAGCCAGGCCCTCACAAACCGCGCCACTGCACCACGCAGTCGTGATACAGAGAAACGCCGATGCACGGCGTTCATCATCACGTCGGAGCCGCGATGTCCGTGTATCCCACAGTATGCGACCACCAGAATGCGTTGTTGCAACTCCACAGCTTTCTCTGGAATCCATAGTTTGCCATCAACTCGAATCATGCCGTCCTCATCTGCCGGTGAAGGTGCGTCACCACGGCAGCGCTGCTGCACTTGCTTGACGGTAGCCTCGGTCGGCCACACAAACGCAGCATCCTGCAACGGGCGGAGCACTGACATAGGCTGCGAACTCCTCGTCGTAATTCGTCGAATAGCGACGGCGTCATCTGCAGGTTTGTCATCAGGCTGACCCCACCTTGAGATCATGTCAGCCCACAGGTTGTCTTCGCCCTTGATGTGCTCGATCACATAACGAACTCCAATCATCTTAAGCGCCCAGCGTTGAAGCTTGCCGCTTACATGCTGTTTAACTTCCTTCCCAGGTGCAAAAATCTGAATTAGATTGGCATGATCGCAGTATATCCGAACCCCCAGCTCTCTTTCCGACAGATACGCCAGGTCCGTACACGCCTTCACTATCGGGTAGGCCTCTTGCTCTACGGTTGGCCAGTTCTGCTGTACTCCTTTGAACAGGCCACCGCGACACACCATCAGCTGATGAGCCTGTTCCGTCACGGGTCTTGCGTCATCCCATTCAGACACTTCAATATAATCGACCATCCTCGAGCCGACGCATCCGAGAACATACATACATGGGCGCTGATATCAGCAAAATACTGCTTGGTAGATGTAGCCAGCAGGTCGATCTCCATCTGGAAAGCGTCTGCGTCCTCATTCGGCCACTTCAGATCAACGCCAGCCAGCTGGGATTTTCGTCGTTCACGAGCCGACATTACCCCCTCCAACTGGGCTTGAAGTGGGCCCACAATACGAGCGTAGTCAACCATTGAGTCTCTGAGCCAGTTAACAGCACACAGGAAGTTCTGCAGTACTGCTGCTGTCGGCGGTAACGGCATCCTACGCAGCGCCGCAATCCTCGATGGATCATGCTGATCACTTTCTCCATCGATCATTTTGTCACACCATACAACCTTAGACGCAAACAGCGTACACTTCTTGGCGTTCAACTTCAAATTGCGCTGACGCAAGATCTGAAAGAACAGCCTTAGTTTCTCCAAGAACTCTCCTGGACTTTTAGAAAGTAGCAGTACGTCATCAATCCACACGAGCACTGAATCGTACAGCATCTCCCAAAAACAGTCGTGCATCTGAAGTTGGAAATGCATAGCCGAGTCACTCGCGTCTTGCGGAATACGCAGGGGTGTGAACACTTCATCCTCTGTCACGAAACTCAACAGCTCTTGGCAGTCTTCCATCAACGGCAGCTGTCAGAATCCCTTAAAGAGATTGAACTGACCAAAACCATATGCACCTCGGACACTCTGAGTTACTGCCGCTAGATTCGGGGTCGCCCCGGCTAAAGGCACGGGCAGCTTGTTGACAGGTCGATAATCCACAGTAATGCGATATCCATCGCCACCAGACTTACGTACAGGTAAAGTCGCACATGCCCATCTGCTGTTGTTGTTGCGGCGAACGAGCCCTTTGTCCAGTAATTCCTGCACGTATGTCCTCAGGAAAACTTGTTGCATGCCTGGATACTTCCTCACGCCACTGCTATACGGCTCTGCATCAGCTGGCAACGTGATTCCCATCGGCTCCACCCTAGCCGGCTCATCGGCTCCGATCCGCAGTCTCCATACGTCCTCGAACTCATGTGCAAGCTTCCGAAGTTCGCCTTCTAAGGTTGGCTCAAAGCCAGCTTAAACAGCTTCATCAACTAGCTTACCAACAGCAACATGTATCTCCTGCTTTTCATCGTCGAAACCGAGCTCTGGGTCGCCTTCAGTGACATCGTCATAGTCAGCATTCGCCACATTAGCACCACCAGCCAGTTGCTCCAAAAGACCATTAACATCGATGCCGATATCCTTCATTGTCGCTCGACCAAGCAAGAACTCATCTTCGTCCCCATCCACTACGAGACACGTGACACGAGCGAGATGCAACGGCCCTGCTGCAGTACTGATGCGCAAGTCTACTTCAACACGGTCCCTGCACTTCATAGTAGCTCCTCCGGCCACCTTAACCAAAATTGGGGGCTTCAAGGCCGTCAGCGCAACTGAACTGTCAAGTGCACACAGTTCCTCCACCACACCACGTGAGATGACATTGCTATCTGCAACGGAGTCAGCACAGAAAGGCATCTCCAGCACATTGTTGATCGTCACATGGTGTCCACTCGGTGCT